TCCCTAGAACTACCTCCTGTAAACTATTCCACACACCCGTCCACTCCTCATTGGTTGGAAATATATAATGATACCCCATCACTTTTGACATATTACAATGAAGTTAATCCCTGTGAGGTACGATCTTCTTTATACTGTGTAGAAATTATTTATCAGTATCTTATACTTTATTATAGCAATAATTTTAGCTTTTAGAATAATTTATCAAAGCTCTATATTTTTATCATAGTTTAATATACATAAATAATAAATTTAGTTATTAGTATGAGACTAACTTATATTATAGTATAATATTTATTACATGTAACATTTTTAGCAAAATGCTGGTGTTAAAGCTTCAGTTAGTGATAAGAAGAAGTTTTTTGAAAAAGCTATGGAAGAACACCACAATCCTAGTCCAAAACCTGGTTAGTAAATTTAACTTTTATTGATTGAATAACAAGTAATCTGTTATAATACTTTATAATATTGTGTTATAGAAAGAGTATTTAGTTTCCTAAGTCAGGACGAAGTAGAAAAAATGAAACAAGAAGAAGGTATTTTATTTAATTATATCTATATCTAAGAATACAATATTAAAATACTTTTGATTATATTTTATTGATTTACGCATTTTTAAAATGATTTATAGAGCAAAAAATGGGTACATTGATGAAGCAAAGGTTAAATCAACATGAACAATTTATTGAAGAAGATGATGAAGATAATAATGATGGTGGTGCTCTAATTTTTGAAAACACACAGTATGCTAATCAATTATTGTTTATTGTTGAAGAAAATTAACTATGATTTATATTTTAGAAGTATTGAGTTACCAAGAAATGTCAATTCTAACACGTGTGTACGAACAGCTAAAGCTGAGAAGCGTATGAAAGAAAGACTAAGTCAAGAGGTATAGCTTAATAAAGATTTTTAAAATATGGGTCTAGTACATTTAAACATAATCGTAATGTACATTATATATATTTATATTTTTAAAGGGAATTGTTATACCCAACGAAAACAACAAAGAACTTTCTCCTTCTGAACAGCGTTCACTGAACGCTGAAAAAAAAGCTGCATGGCGACAAGCTCGATTAAAGTCTTTGGAACAAGTAATGCATTATTATATTATATGCCTAAATCACTGAATTTTTAATATTTTTTTAATATTATTTGTATTATTTAAGGATGCTTTACAAGCACAATTAGTAATAAGAGAATTAAGCGAAATAAGTGAAAGTAAATCAACAAATGACGGCGATGCAGATAGTGATGAAATACCAGACATTCAGTCAAAAGAATGTACAGAAAATAAAACATTAGAGGTAATTAAATTTAAAAATTATTAAAGTTTAAAACATAATATAATAATAAGGTGTCATCTTATTGCTTTTTAATTTTGTCTAACATTGAGCTTCATGATACCCAATGGGGGAGAAGGGGATTCATTATGTTATTATTTATTTATATATAATATATTATATTATAACACATTTTGTTTTTCATGGCATAATTATTAACTGCTGTATTGTAATTTTTTAACTCCAAACATTAACTAACTTGTTATTTTGTATTTATTTATTTTATTTTTTATAACCATTTGTATTAATTTATAATGTTTTTCGTTTGTTTTTATTTAAATAAACAACTGTTACTATTTAACATGTATTATTATATATATAAATACATGATAATAAACTCTAATAAACATAATATATGATATTAATATCAAAACTAATTGGCCTTTGGTGGCGGCTATAATTAGTGCTTGCGGCCGACCAGCGAGGACTTTCCTCGCCTGCGCCTGCGAGAGTCCCCTGTCCAGACCAAGGTGTCGGAACGTGAAACAGTCGTCGGAGAGAGTGTTTCCTTACGGACCGAGCAGTATGTTGACCACATTTCCGGTCAACTGAAAGTCAGAACTGTCGAAATTATTGAAAAAGTCATTGAGAAAGAGGTACCTACATACCGTACACAATCAAGTACCTAGTACTTGCCTCGTTTCTGAATTTCGCACCAACTTCTGTTCTCTGTACCTAGTTACCTACACAATTGAATTCTTATTTACAGTTTTATAAATTTATATATTATTGAATACCTTTTCATAGCATGATGCATGGTTGACACTAAGACACGAGTCAAAATAATAACACGTCTTTTCCTCGTCTATATTAATTATTTATAAAGTCGATATTTTTATTCCACACAGTATTTTTGCATGTAAGTAGTATATCTTCCAAAAAGAAAATATCACAAAGTATATTATATAGTTAATAGATGATGTTGTATCTTAGAAATAATCTTAGTTTGTAAACATGTATTAACTATTTTTGTATACATTAAGGTGGAGACAACTAAAGAGAAAATAGTGTCTCTCGAATTAAGTACTCCTGAATCTGAAATACCTGAAATACCAATTGAAGAGGCCGCTGAAGAAGATGTATCATTAGAGAAGAAACAGACCAATCCATCTGGAAAGAAGAGACGCAGAAAGCGTACTAAGTCTACTGATAAGCAAACAACATAGTAATAAATCAATAATCATCAAAAAAAAAAAATCATTTTAAAAGTTAGCAGCTAATCTTCAATTATATATTTACTTATATAATGAATAATCATCCCTCCTCATTCCTATTAAATATTTTATAGTATTACTAGGCGTAACAAATTGTGATCACTATTAATTATTATTATTAAATAAATATATATATTTATATTTTCCATTCTTATATTGTATTCAAATAACAAAAAAACATCTACATTTCATTATGGACCAATTTTTTACATTTACTATATTTTTATCTGTTTAGTGATGAGAATTTCAATTTGTTTTTTAACTGTTGGCACGCATTATTGTCAAGTATAAACCAATTGTTTGTAATAAAACTTTTATTTTTTTATATAATATTTATGAATGAATAAAATAAGACAGTATTTGTAACTTTTAAGGAAAAAAAATCTACGATAAACTATTATTATTTATTATTATATTATATAACAGTATTTTTAATTAAAGGACTTAATCATTTTGTAATTATTATAAATCTATATGAATTAAAATAATTTAACAATAATATATAATATACCGACCATATTTGTTGTTACTCAATTTTTATAAGAACTATTGCCAATATTAAATTAATTATAAACATACAACGTAATAATGAATATTGTCTTAACGCAACAACTGTGCATATGCTCATGTATGTAACTTTTGTACTGTTCTGAATTTTTGAAATTCATTTACTCATAAGTTTTGACTTAATTCTAAATGAAAAATTATATGTTATCTTATAATTGATAATAATTTATTAGTGTATTATTAAGTAATCAAATTTAAATACGGGGCTTTTCAAAGGATTTTTCTCAACTGTGTAAAACGACAATCTTGGAGTCCGCCTAATGTGGGCAATATGGTCTAGTCCCAATTCCAATGCATACCAACAAGGTTAAAAAGAATCACATAATATGGGCACTTGATTCGGTTTATGTGGACAATTTTTATTTTTATCATAGCGTTAGAATATACACAACCCGGGTAGCAATTACTGTGCTATGATTGTGTCAAATCATCAATAAATCAATTGTGTGGAACACGGTGTATTTACTGTCTCTGCACTGTGTTTTAAGCCATTTTGAATACCAAATTTTTACATGGGTAGCACCGTGCACTCAGAGTGCAATTGTCAGTTCAAACACCGTGTCATGGTACAGTATTTTAACGGAGTTTTTATTGGGTATTGACCCATCGTACAACCGTGTAACAGTCTGTTCAAGCACTGTGCAACTGTGTTAATATTTCACCGTGTACTTATTGGGCATTTGACGGTTAAAACACCATACACTGATTGTACTGTATGTGTGTAGGTCTGGTTCAACACCGTGCAACAGTGTATTAATTAACTATAGCTATACGCCCCGGGCTCGTATTTAGAAATTATGAGCTCCGGGCGCACTTACGAAATTCTGCCCTTCTTTTTGGTAGCATGGAGGAGGATGTCTAGTGTTAAAAATAAAAATTATAAATACTTATATAAAATTATAAAACATTACTATTGTATTTTAATAAAGTAACCAATTCACTATTTAGTTACCTAACGTGAATAAATCTCCACCAAATCACAATATACATAATATAAGAAAAACTATTTTGCATAAATTATAAAAAAAAGTTCATGAAAATTATAATTATAATTATATAATATATATATATATATAGCCATGCGCGTTTGTTGTCTCCGTTTTATACCTGTTATTACCAACGTACGACAGTAAATTTCTGTTCACTATATAGTTTCAATAGTGTGCTGTTTGTTTTTAAATTAGAGAAAATTGCCTATCATCAACATTTTTGATATTTTCATTTGAATGTATAATAGATACAAGTATGTGAAATATCACAAATTAAAAATACCCATATCTCACTTGAAAATGAAAATATTTAATAAACACCTACACTTGAGCACATAGAATGTTTTTACCTAGAGGTTTGATTATAGGTAAATTTACTCTAATATTAAAACTAACAGCACACTATTATAATCTAATTATAGATGATAAGTATTAAAATATGACATAAATAACATTGTATTATTTATTTTAACAATACATAATAACATTATTTCTTTTACATTTAATATTAAATAAAAAAAATTAATCTTCTCACAATAGTAGGAACTGAATACAAATATAAAATTGAAAAATAAAACTGTTCATATACTTGACATAATAGTTGTAACAAAAACATTTAAAGAAATTATAATTTTTTTGTTCCTCCGTTATTACCACTGCAGTTATAAAGAGGCGCATGTCTTATGTAGTTGTCAGCAACAGAATGAAATTTAGTTTCATCTTCAGGACTTCGGCGAAAACTTGACAAGGAATCTAATAAAATTATGATATAATATAAATCTTATAATTTATTCTTATAAATGATAGTAATATTACCATAAATAACTGAGAATATCTGGAGACCAATAAATTTTTCTTTTGTTTTCCCCTTATAGCTAAATTTTGATAGCAATTCCTTTTCAAAACAACAGTCAATTGTTTTCTTAATCGCAGTGTTAAATGACATCCCACCAACTTTCATCAGCAAATAGAACTTCTGAAATGGCATCAATAAAACCAGTAGAAAAAAAAACAATTATTTAGATTCTATATCTGAATTATACATAATAATATATACCTATACTATTATGGATGATCTATGACTAAATATATATATATAAATATATATACAAAATTACAAATACCAGCTACTATACAAATGCACAATGACTAATTGTGACTAACACAGTGACTAATTTACAATACATTGTATCCATGTGATGTAGTATATTAATATAATAGTACAACTTATATACTATAAAGTTTTAGTGATTTGACAATTATGTAATACACAATTTTAAGATTATAAACTGTCAATATCCATAAGTCTTATGTTAATATATATATTTTATTATAATTTTATTTTATTGACTATTAAATATAATTTAAAAGTTTTTTGAATCGAAGAAATAATTTTTGTTTTATATCTGCAATATTAATATTTAAATAATAATTATCAATTACCAGTTCTTCTTTATATTTATTTGCTTCTTCGTTACCATCAGATAATAGTGTCTCTACAGTTTTCAGCTCATCCATTGTTTTTACTGGTAAGATACCAATGAAAGCCGGAGGAATATTTGGCAGTGGGACAGCCATGGCTGTGTCCCTTAAAATTTAATGCAAACGATTTTGCTGGGGCATCACATATAAGAGCTTTTAGATGAAGTTTTACATGAATATTATTATACATCACACCATCATTAATCAGCACACAAATTTCATTTACAAAATCACTTAAAAATTCGTTACTGTCTTCTGGTTTTGGTTTACCATAATATGAACCAATAATGAAAACACTAGAGTCAGAGATATTTGAAAAATACCCTAAAATAGGCCATAATTGACTAGGAGGATTTTTTGTGATGGGTAATCCGTCTATTCCAACCATTAGCATGAGTACTGAAGGAAGCGAAGTACCAGATTTTATCAAATGTTCAATTTGATCAAAGATTCCAAAATGATAGTAACTACCCCCTTTGATTTCTTTAATAATAGTTTTGGTGGGGGTTTTTAATAATGTTCGAGAATCTATGGGTAATTCCTTAAATTGTGGATGCTTTGATAAATTTTTGAGCAGATCGTCTAAAGCCATGTGAGTAATATTATTTCGAATGGCCCATTTAGCAATAGTTAAATTAACCCCATCATCAATTTCTGGATTAAATTGTTTTTCATCATAAGAACTAGAGCTAGAACTTAGTTCACAACAATCTTCATCATCATTAGTTAAAGTTACTTCTTCCTGTGTGTGTACTATTGCAGGTGATGAACAACGTTCATACATTTCTGAATTTGATGGAAATGCAATATGAGGAAGTGGGTTTTGATGAAAATCATTATTATACTCATTACTAGAACTAGATGATGAATACATTGAAGCAGTAAGAACTGTAGCAGCTCGCTTTCTTCTACGATACCGAGTAGATTTGCTTAAGTTAACCTTAAACCTATAAAGAACACAACCAAAACTTTATATTGTTAACACGTGTTACCTGTTATTTTTTGTATTCATGGATATACTTTTGGCATTGAATTATAAAATTAATAAAATTTTTTTTATTTTAAAGCAAGACAAAATGATGGTACTTATACATATTATTTTAATCCAAATTTAGTATATAATATATGTCATTTCTAAAAAAATTACCTAATTAAAATATGATAACATGTTATTAAAATAAATTAAATGTAATATAGTACCATCCTGACTATATATGTATATTGTATAATATATATGTAGGTATATACACATATATTATTATGATTACTTTTAACTAAACATAATCACTATTCGCAAGACAGTCTATAGATTTATACCCTACCTATATAAAAATAATTAAAACTGAATGTTACATGTTGTAGGTACTATAAAAGATTTTATAAGTAAAAAAATTAATTTGAATTAGGAACCTATATTTACTTAATTAATAAATGAAACCTTTATTCAATCATTCCACACCTTTTACAATTTATAAGACCCAATATTATTTTAATAAATTAAGTTATATAAATTGGTTCTTTTAAATTAAATTAAATTAAATGTGTATATTATATAGCAAATAGGTATATATTTTTTAGTTACTTTTCATAATTACCTAAGTATATCTATATTACATATTTTAATTTTCAAGTTTGTATAATTATACCAAATCTATAATACCATGGCTAAATATTATAATAGTGCAGTGTTTACCATGTGCATAACTACATAAGACATATTAATAACACATATCACTAGTAATATACAATATTATATATCTGAGAAGTGAGAAGTATGATTAAGGTAGAGATATAATAATATTACTATTAAGACGATTGTTAAAATTAAATAAAATACTACTATATTATATAGTTATAATAATATAAGATAATATAGATATAGGTATGTATATAATATATAATGTGTAGACTGCTGTTTATATATAAAATATATATGTGCTATATATATGTATCACCTATATAACAGACTGTATTATTTACATTTATTGTACTTACATTTTTAAATGTTGAATATTTATTATATATATAGTATATATATACTGTCCTTAGAATTCAATATTTATACATATTATGTACAATGCGATTTATTGAATACATATAAGTTATAAACTTTAGAATCTTACTATATAAAACGTGAATATAATATAAAACGTTATAATTTTTAATAATTAGGATTTAAGATAAACACTTACAAATACAGCTAGGTTAACAAAGAAAATAACGCGCTAAATAGTGAAAACTGAAAAGCGGAATGCCAATACAGAATGATAATAATTATTATACTCGCTATATTATCAATCTAAATCTAAAACACGTGGTTTAAATAATTTGCCCATTATCATAATATTATATAAGTTCACCGTGTGTGCTTTGCACAGACACACGTTATTCAACCAGAAACATAAACAACTACCTATATATAATATATTATATATATAAGTCTATATAGACTTATAAATATATTTATAAATATATGTTATTTAATATTTTACATTTTGGCACAGTGGGGACACAGTGCTTGAAACAATTTTCACACGGTTATTTCACCGTGCGTACCTTGCACGGATACACGTTATTCAACCAAAAACACATATATACCTACCTATTATATATAAATATATAATAATATGTTTCACGGTTTCATCTCTTGTATATAGCACACTGCAGAGAACACCGTACTTGAAATAATTTTCTCACAGTTATTACACAGTGTTTTTTTACATTTACACACGCAATTTAACCCAAGAATATATTAACACTTTTATTGATTGATAATTTATTGAAGCTGCACAGTGCTCACACCGTGTATGAACGGTCTTATAAGCACCGTGTAAATATACAGACGTTGCACCTTCAAATTGCTACTCGGGTAAGAGAGTAACGAAGGTAGTCCATCTGATAAGCTTGAAGCGTGTGCCACTTTTGTATACCTTCCACATTCAAAAAGTAATTTTATTAATTGTATTATATTTAGTTTTACTTGTGTAGTAATTTAAAATTTTTTTCAATTGCAAAATGAAAACTTTTTTTGATTTCATAATTTTTTTTTTTTTTTTTAACTAATTTCGGTTTTTATGGGCAACCGCTTAATGTGGGCAAACAGGGCTGGTCTCAATGTGCCCAATAATAAGAGGAATTCATTGTATACCTCACTATAATTTAAAATATGTAAGGTGTGATAATTAATATACATTCAATTTTCTGCATTTAGTGTAAAAGAAAAAGCAGAGTCTACTGCACTATCACTAATCTACGGACTGTTATCAACCTTACGTTTTACTTTATTACTTTCATCCATCATATGATTTATTTTTAAAAATTCTTCAATTTTCAAATTTATGAGCAATATTAAAGACAACATCTAATGGAATGATCAATATAAATTAAACTTTGTACCAAATTTAAATATGTTTTCTTATTATTTATTACTTTTATTCAATATTGATTGATTTAATGATTCATTATTGTTTCATTAAATTTTTAAGTTTAATAGTTATTTAGGGACTAACAAATGGCAATAAGAATATTAAAGTACTCACCTAATCTTACCTATTGGTTTCAACAATTATTTTTTTAATCAGGTAAGTAGTATCTATATTTTATTATACATTAAATATTTTATAATTATAATAAATATGTTTCAATTACACATTTTATAGAGTATTATTATAATTCATAATCATTATAATGATAAATATGCAATTGTATTAATATATAACCATACATAGGTATTATACATCTTGCTAATTAGAAGACATTCATATTATATCATGATACCGCTGCAGCAGCAATGTTTGTGTTATAAATTCTTTGATGCTACAATAGATTCTAATTGAACCTAAAAAATAAAGGTTATACATTATAATATATAACCATATTGTAGGTAGGTACTAAATAAATAGTAGTAATACTTGTAGCTCATAATTTTCATGATTCTGAAACTTAAAATGCATTTAAAAAAATAAAAAATCTTGATAGTTGTATTCAGATGTATGAATAACTTAATTTATGGGATCTTATACAATTTTCACCCATCGAATGTTTTTATTAAAATTCATAGAGAAAATCGAAAATGTTGAGTTTTTGTAGTAATTTGTTTTTGAATTATAACAAAATAAAGAAATCAATTTCATCGAAAACTAGTTCAGTGTAAAAATTACAGTTTTACCTTAATTTTGACCTTTCCAAAGTACAATTAAGATCCAATTTTCTATCTAAAACTACTTTTAAAGTAAAAAGTTGAAGAATTTTATCAATTGTACGTGCACATAAAAAAATAAATACACATCATTATTAAGTAATACATTATCGCCCAGTTCAGTACCTAAAAATAGGTGGCTTAAAAATTCCGATCAAAGACTTTTGCTATGTATTGGCTTTCCAAGTGCTAAAATAAACTAGTCGGCGGGTTATACTTACTTTTACCAGTTGGTTAGCTCTTTTTAAACCGTCTAACTCTTCGGTTTGACGTTTAATGATCACGTTACGCTCTTCAGCCGCATCTCGATCAATTTTTTCTGTCATCAAGGTGATTTTCATCAGCTCAGCTTCTAACCTTTTATTTTCAGACCTCAAATATTCTACAGTCTTCAATAAATCAGACTTTGCGTGTTTCCGCTAAAATGAAAAAATTGCAAATGAAACTAAATTTGTTTAGAAAACGCACTCCAAAATTGAAAATACTATAATAATATAAAGTAATATTATTGATACAAATTAATACTCGTAATTACATATAAGCATAAACAGCTTATCTGCTTATACATTGGCTAGCTAAAGCATACCGCATACAGTAACACAGACTTAATTTCGGTGCTAAATGAATAATTTAGCTGTTTTTTTTAAACTACCTATATATTATGTATATAAATGCATAACTATACATATATACAATTTTTAATTTAATTTAAGAAATTTTTCAAAATCTATCAAGCATAATAACTGTATGTAAAATTCCAATAAAATAATATATCGAAGTCAAAAAATACGAATCCACACGAGTGAGCATCTCCAAAATTCCTCAAAAATAGCATTTTTCAATTATTTTTTAAATCAACATTGTCAACTAATAAGCACAATTTATTTATATAACCATTTGAAGTTCAAATTCGAACAAAATTATAAATAACGTGGTACCTATTCATTATTTTGTTAAAGTTCAAAAACTATCGTGGAGACGTGAAACTTATAAATAGAAGTATTATTAAATTTTATATAAACAATTATATTTTTAAATGCAACATTTTCGACAAAAAAAAATCTAATCTAGGTAATGTTAAACATTTTCGACAAAAAAAATCTAATCTAGGTAATGTTAAACTATATATATATATATATATATTTTTTTTTATAGCTTCTACCTAGCCTCTCAATTGGTCTCTGTTGTCTGCATCAGATTTAATGCAAGTAGATGTGTTACTATTTACTAATAGTAAAATAAATAACCTAATAGCAATAATATCGAAAAATATAACATGAAATATTATACTAAACTTAGTAATACAACTATACAAGTTTACAAAATGCCTACGCTCAAAATCGTGATTTACGTGTGTAATATGGTACATCGTTGAATTAAAATGTAATACCTACATTAATTTCAGTAAACCTCTCGGGTACCTACCTAGCCAGTGCAGATCTGCAGTATCCATCAGCTCACCTTTTCAATACAAAATATGGATTATTATAACTCAAAAATAAACAAAATGTTTAATATAAATATACATATTAATTATTTTATTCAGTAAAATATACGAATTTAAACATTGATGTGTAGAGTCATACAATAATTAGTGATTAAGATTAAAAATAACAGCATTTATACATTACCTACAGGCTACATGTGTTTACAGTTTACACTGAGGTGCGTGTAATTAAATTGTATAGGTCTCTACATTTAAATTATGGGCAAATCATAGATAGCTCAATATTCATAAACTATAATAGAATAATATATTTAGCTAACTTAATATAATATTTATTTTGATTACGTACTATAGGTAACACCTACCTGTAATGACTTTCGAATCCCGTGAGCTAATGCACTCTCGTACATCTCTTTATAACCATTTATGCTCATCTGAAGTTCATCGCGAATCCGGATCAACATGTAACCCCGTTCCGCACAGTTTAACGTTACTTGTCTTATGACTTCATCTATTTAAACATATGGATTAAATGAACAGTAAATTTCATACCTATATTATAAAATAAATTCACATTTTAAAAATGCTATACTTAAATAAAAAATAAAAATTGTTGTTAACTTAATCGTTCTAACCCAACATATCATCAACAATTATTCATTTGTGAAAAAAAAATATTAAATTAAATGTGTGCGATTATATTTTTTAATTTTAATTTATGTCTATAGAGAAATATAGGATTATTATTCTTTTTATTTATCATACCCTAATGTCAGGTTGCATAAACAGCAATTGATTAATTAATTTAACGAAAAACCACATATATAGCCTTTGTGAATCTAGAAAAAGTTTTCGTTAGCATAAATTAGATAAGTATTTTTAAAATTTTTAAAGAATTTGATATAGATTTTAAAGGCAAGCGTATCCTATAATACATGAAGAATAAGAAGCAATTTAATTATTGCTTACAATCGGTTCAAGAATTCAAAAAAGTTTAAGATAAGGATATCCTCTCTCGCCTGCACTATTCAACTTATGCATTGAAAAAGCGATAAACAATATATTAGTTCTAATTATATCATGAAGGAATTATTGGAGTGAAAATAGGAGAAATATTAATATCGATACCTCGCTTTGTGGATAATATTGTTGTTCTTGCAACTATAAAAAAGACCTACAAGCAGCGTTAAATATAATGAAATATATTTTTTTAAATTAAAGCCTGAAAATAAACACTAGTAAATTACAAGTCAAACATACCAATTATAAAAGCATAGAACTAGAGAATAAAGAATTTCTCAAGTACCTAAACTATTTCAAAGATTTAGACAGCATTATAACAGGTGATAGGAAATCAACAAAATAAATCAGGAGTAAAATTGAGCAAGCAAAAATATTTTCCTTAAAAAAAAGAAATTACCTACATCAAAAAATGAAAGTATATATATTAAGAAAATATACTCATTAAAACGTGTAATGTTATATAGATGCGAGACATGTGAAATAAATATTAAATAAAAAGGTGTCATAGCTAAAAGAAAAACAAACAAAAAAAATTCCTTAAGTACAATAGATGAAAAACAAATACTAATAGATACTATAAAAAAAATTTGGCATATTAAGCTCCTGTTGATCTGCAATAACAGAAAAAAAAATAGGAAGCTTCTTCTTTTCAGATAAAATTGTTAAATATATAATTGTAAGCTCAAACTTATGTTAAAAAAGTCAGCCTAATAGCTCCTCTGAAATTTTAATGGATTTTCACTTACAACTGTTGTACTAATCATATTATATAGATAGTTATTTTTGTAGGTAGTAAATTTTTAAACTTACTAAAACATTGACTGTATATTTCGTGTTTAATCGGACAAAGTCCCACCTCTTTAGTGTTATATTCTTTTAAATATGTATCGAATTTCTCAACAAGATTTTTCACATCTCGCTTAGTAGCAGGTTGAATAGATATTTTTTGAGAAAATATTTTACCATCCATTTCCCATTCCCTTGGTGATAATATACTATTCAAAACTTCTGTACAATTATGGTGTTTAGCTTCAAACGCATAGTCTCCGCAGTCCATTGAACGAACATTTTTTGCCACAGAATATCGATGCTATGATGAAATAATGGAATTATTCTAATTTATTTATAACATATTATTATATTAATATACCTATTATGTATATAATTATATATTTATATGTAATGATAAATGTCTAATTTTTAGAGGGAAAATACCTTCTAAAAATGGACTTCATTAAATTCAAGAATTTACAAAATAATTCATTCAAACTCTGAATGATTGTTTCGTAATATTTGAACTATTACAAATTTACAAATTAGAATTAGTAAATCTAAAAAAAATATAGTAGACATTTTATGTAAACCTATATATAAAAAATAATAAAGTAGATATTTATAATGATGGTCAATCAAACTTCCTTCAATCATAAGGTTTTTTTTTTTTTTTCTAATTATAAATTGAATTATGAGAATAAATAATTATATTTTTAATAGGTAGGATACATTAAAAAAAAAAATGTGGGTAAGTGGGCTGTGCTCTCCACTGTAAATTGTAATGTTATACTATGATGTATGTGTTAAATTTGAAGTCAATGATAAATCAGTGTATACAAAAAAATAACTGAGTGGAGATCGCGGTCTGTCAGCCTATATAAATTACTATAAGTATATTTCATGTTATATTTTTCGGATGTGAGTGAGTTGCGACCCGATGTGTCGACGTGTCGTTTCCGGTGTTAGAGACCGGTGAATTTCGGCTCGATAATATTAAATTTCAGATATAGATGAGTTGCGGCCAGAGTAATTAACAAGTCCGTCTTCACATTGTTACCGCAGACTCGACTTCATTACTTTTGTCACGCCAAGTCCGTACGCTCGCATTAAAACCATCATATTTCTGATCGGTTTCTTGTGCTGAGCGATCGTACTCGTCCTCGTACTCGTAGGAGCCTCGTGATTAAACATAATATATTTACGTGTTTTTATTACATTTCTAATTTGATTTTGTTGTGAATAAATAATATAGTATATATTATATATATGTAATGTATACATTAATGTATGGCCGCAACTCACACCGTGTTTTTCAATATTGCAATTAGGTAAATCAGGCCCGTGTGCATGGATGATGGAGATCCAACATCCAACCCATGTATATTTCCTTTTTTTTAGCTATTGGTTTTATTGAAATAAAAGAATGTTTACTTTGATAAGACTCCAAAGTATAATGTATGATTGAAAAATTTTAACTAATTAACACTTTTCATATAGGTACTTAAAAAATTAATAAAAATATAATAGAGGAACTAGCTGGGACGAAATGGGGACGCTAAAGTTTTAATAGGAATAAATTGTTTATTACATATTATGACATTTTTTTTTTTTTTAAATTACAGTCCTATGATTTTTATGTTGTCTAATATAATACCACTATCAGTTAATAACAATAAAATAATTGTTGACTACTATTTTTCTTCATATCCCTCCCCATGAAGAAATTCGGCGCATGGACATGAGTAAAGTAATTTATTTGATTATAGTAACATACTAATTAGGTTAATTTTTGTCGAAAACATTGCATTTGTATGTATAAAATTAAAATATAATAATAACTGTCAACAAAATTTTAATTTTAAAATAACAATTCGAGTTTTTCCTTATCGAGTTCTTTCCGGTGATCTCAAAAAACACTGAGTTTTTAATTTTGATGTTTTATAGTTTAAACAAGATCCAATTTACTATCCTAAACCACTTTCATAGTTGAAAATCGATATATTTTTTTAACTACTTATCATTTGCATACACAAAAACAAACATATTGTAAAATCAATACATTCATTGTACCGCTTAGAACTCGAGATTTGAAAAATTCATAACGAACAACTGAATTCCATTCCTTTTGCAGTATAAAAATAATAAATACTTGAAAACTTAACGCAACGAGCGTCAAATTTTAAATTGAAACTTTTAAGTGCAACGGGCAACGGGTACATACAATTTATTTTGTGTCTTTATCCCACTATTGAGGTAACAGAAGCACAAAACAAACTTTTATTTTCGTTTATTTGAGAATTTCTATATATTTATATAAAATATAATTATATAAGTATATTGTTTATGGCACGTGAAATTTCCCACACTTGTGAATTCTGGGCACTAAAATCAAATATTGTGCAAACGTTAGTCAATACTTTATTTTGTATTAGGTAATGTTAAATGTTAATTTAATTAAGATAAAACTTAAATAAATACTGAAAGTTAAACCATCGTTTTCCCTTCATTTGCGTACCGCTCAAAAAAACATGGTTATAATTTTTTAAGCTTTTTATTGAGTTGAATTGGCATTTTTGGTTATTTTTAACAGTTGTTGGAGTGTTTAAATCTAGACCCTAATATTATTATTAAGTAAATAGTTGTATTAATTGATTAAATTTTAAGCTTGAGATTTTTTCCCACGATTAATATACAACTATAGTAGGTGTATTATGAATATATAGTCAAATATCTTTGAAAAAACATTTCTATTGTTCATAAACTGAGCGCAAGCCGCAAATGAATTGTAAAAAAACTAAAAAGTATATGTGCGCGAATGAGTTATAGTCAGATCGATCAACTTCAGTACTTACAATGAATATCATAAAGATCTATGTTCATAGCATATATTATATTAGTAATTATTGATAAATAAAAACATATTATAAAATGTACCTATTCATAATCATATATAGTTATTATCATAAATATCAATAAACCATATATGTATATCGTAGGTATATGATATCGAGGTATTATTTAAGAAATAATCTTTACGTCTCTACGTATACAGTTGACATAAATAAATTTATATATTACCTACATAATTATAATAATTTATACTAGATTTTTGTTTTTAAATGATAATATATATTATATAATACTTGTTTAGTCGTTTTTGGCAATGTTGGAATAGGTTTAGTAACTAACAATTTTGGATTATCGAAGTGCACTAAATTTATTTCTGACGGATGTACTCTTTCAATAGTACTCATATTTAATACCAGTTTTTACCAAGATATTAATAACCTATATAAAATGAGGAATAAGATAAAAATTAATTATATATACATGTAATAAGAAAAACTTACCTATCAAAATTAGTAAGTAGACACTAGACAGGTATTATTTTTAGCTTTATATAACAGCAATAATTTATTTGATTTTACTTGTGTTAGATATAAGTATCATATAATCTGAGCAATTATCAAGTATACAATAATATAGCTCATTTTTATAAATTAAATAAATATTTTATAAAATAATTCGATATAATTTTAAATTGATAGTAACAACAATGTTATTATTAAAAAGTAACTGTACAAACGGCATGGAAACAATAGGAACCATAAATAAGAATGCAGCCTTTACAAATTCAATCTAATATAGCTACAATATTTACAGTAAATTATTTATCACATTATCTAACTGAATTTATATTAAATAATAACAACCCAATTTTTACGGATGGCCCAGGTTTAAAATATTCTATATATACTATATACCTATACTTATTTACCAACATTTACGCAAGTTTAAATCGTCTTCTATTGTTTAAGATAGTATAGTGTATACAACAAAGAAGTAAAACAGTACCTACTAATTTATAATTCTCATTTATCTCAATAATATGAACATAGTGAAGTGTAAAATTATTTATTACGGTTTATGTGCGTAGAATGACAATGTTTATGAATTATTAAATATACATTAATAATAATTTACAATAACTAAATATTATAATATAACAAATTACTTTATCTTAAAATCTTCATTAGATAAATAATAAATTATATACAATGGTAATTTTTAATCTTCTATTAAAATTATTTAATAAATAAAATTTATAACTTTTGGACATTTTTTGTAAACAATACATACTTTTTATAAACAATACAATGACAATGGAAATTAAAACTTATGTTTACATTAAATGATAATTATCACTCCTTCGTCTTGGTCTAGCCTAAAACATAACAATTATTAGTTTATAAAATATTTTTACTTGAGAAGTTTGATTATTTAAAAACTACAACCATGTTCAATTTTCAATAGTTCACTGACTTACAAAAGGCAGATTGTAATATATTTTTTGGATTTTCTTTAATAACTTCCAACGATAAATCCATATTAATAGTATGATTAATAAAATCATTAATACTATTGCTGAAAAAAAAGAAAAATTTAGACTAATAGTGCATAATATATTATTACTTATTAGTTATTAATATTTACGTAATTCATGTTCTTAATAAATAATAAATGAACTATGAATATTCAAATATGAAAATAAATAATTAAAGAAGTTTGACATAAGAAAACTTTTTATTTTAATCACACATAAAGGAACATAGAAATATTATTTTCACAAAATGTTGACTTTAAATTTTGACACCCACCCTCCAATTAATATTTTAGAATAATTGATAATGTTAATTTATATAAAAATGTTAAAAAGTTAATTTTATTGAGTCAAACTAAAATGTATACAATAATTGGTGGATAACAAATGTCCAAGATTAAATAAGTATCTCAAATGCAAAATAATCACTTAAAGTAGGTACCACTTAAATAATATACACATACTAGATCAAAAGTAGATATTACCTGTATAAAATAAAGAACCAGACACAACTTCTTTTTTCATACTTGGTGTATCAATAAAATTATCAGAAATTACATTTTTACCTAAATTATTTGTTATTGAACAATTATTTTTCATATAAAAATGATTAATGTTGATATTACCATAAATTTGATGTGAGGTGTGTTCAATATGTTTCAGTTCTGTTGCAATAAGTGTCACAGATTCATCAATTTGTTCTGTAGTTGATAAGATTAATTCTTCTATTTTAGTAATTTCTAAATAAGATTCAATTGATTTGTTATTTTCTGAATACACAGATAGCTGATTTTCAACAGTATTTGTAGTTGATATTGGAATTAATTGATATATCTTACATATTTCTTCATTTGTATGATCATTGAAATCCATACAACATATACCTTTTGAATATGTATGAATTATTACTACATTCTAAAAAAAATCCATTTTTAATTTTATTTATTTGAAAAAAAAAATATCAATTAAACAATTAATCTTATAAATTCCTTTATATCAAAACATAAATTTGAGGTGTTTTAAAATCCTAACTAATAATTATTACTAAATTTACAGCCTTCAATGAGGGAGGTGCAGTGTAAAAAATTGTTTAATACTAGAATTTTAATTTAACGAAAACTGAATAAAATATTTCATAAACATTAAAAAACAGTTTAAATATATGTTATTTTATGATTGTCATGTATAAACAAAATATTTGTTATTATAATTTTTTATAAAAAAATACCTATTGAATAAGTTTAAGTAATCTTTTATATTGTCTCTTTAAGTTTTGAACCCTTTTAAAACTTCTTAAATATCCATTTTCTAGATTTTGAAAACTAATTTTTAACTATTAATATTAAAGAAAAAAATATTCTTATGGCATACTCTGTAAACTTGTGTACATGCTTATAACATGTAGTAAGTTTACACAGAAATTTGAAACACAAGCTATAGAAAATAGGATAAACTAACATCTTTTTCTGTGATATTAAATGTTGATAAGTCTTCTGTTGATTTGGAACATGCAACAATAATATCCACAGTTTTGAAATCTAAAAAAAAAAATACATTTTTATAATTTTTATATTTATTTAATAAAATAGTAATCTTAAAATAAATAAAATTCAAATTACGTTTATCATTTGTATTTTGAAAATTAGCTACTAATTTTTTCTTAAATATATCATATTCAAGATTCATATTTCCAAAAAATGTTCCATTTATACTGACAGATCCATTACAAAAGTTTATTTGGTAATTTGTTTTTGTTAAATTATCAGTTGACTAAAAATAAAACATCAATTCAAATAAGCATAATTATTAAGAGAAAGTATTGAAGTAACACAATATTTATTTTCTTTTTATGACTCATGCCATAAGCAAATTTACATTCAACAGTACCAAACCTTGTGTTGTAAGCTTAAGTATTAGAGTGATCTCTCTGATCTACCATCTAACTTATAACTAAGAGTATCATCTATGTTTGTGTGTTGGTTTTTCTATATTTCAATTATTAAGCAAAATATGAACATTTTTAAATTGTCACGTTTTACAAACATTTATCATAAAAAAAGCATAGTTATATATTATATTATTAGTACATATAAAAATAATTATACACAAATAATGATCATAATCTTAAGTTAGATAATAGACCAATTCATTACTCAAATACTAAAGCTTATAACACAAGGTTTAGTTCAGCTAAACATAAATTTAATAAGTAGTATGTGGGTTTAAGAGAAAAACGAAACAGTGCGCTGATATTCTTTTAATATGTTGTTTTTTTTATTTTCAAAATATAGTTAGATAAGTATATAATAAGGATTAAGGATAATTATTTTGACAGAGAATTCATAAAAAAAATAATTTTTAATTTAAATAATTAATAATAATATTGAATTTTTAATTTAAGTACCTATATATATTTGAAATTAAAAACAATATAACAATATTAAAGACCTATATTATAAGTTTTTATAATATTAAACAAAATTGTTAAAGGTTATATCGCTAATTACTAAAGAAAAGCTTTATACATAATAGTTACATAACATTGAATAAAAACTTTTTGTCTTAAAATTAAACATCTTATACCATTAAAATAAAAATATAATATAAAACTTTACAATGCTAAATCTATAGTTAAAATAATTTCAAACACATAGCTAAGGTTATAGTTTTAAAGATTATCAGAATTTAATGAAAAATATCATTCATTTATGGCCTTTACTACCGGACAGTTCAAGAAAAATAGACACCTCCATCAACAGAATGTATACTGGAGATACTTCAATAATTTACCAGCATCTGATGCAGAGGAAAAATCATCTATATGTGTCAGTTATGAGCAGAGTAGAGCGTCATCGGAATGAAATTTTATTTGAATGATTATTTAGATAACACGAAGAGACAATATATGAGAACATCCAACATTCTGTTAGAAGTATTTTACCCTGACAACTGGAATCATGATAAGCTTTATCATTAAATATAATTTAATTAATCAATTATAGTTTATATATGTACATAATGTACCTAGTTTAAAATAGTATTAACTGATGTTAATTCATCATACCCAATGACATTATCTCAAAATTTTTATTTAATATTACAAAAATAATAATAAATTTAAAATATTAATCAAACAATTTCTACAGTTAGCCTGAAAATCAATAAAAAATTATGAAAATTGTTTAATGCAACTAAAACTTAAAATGTGATATTGATGTAAATTCAATAGGATATAGAACTGACTAAGAACTGCCTGGTGAAAAAAAAATTATATAACTTAAAATAGATTTTGTTATTGTTATGGTTTTAAGATGCTAATTAAAAAATTTAAGTATAAAAAAGTTTAAAATATGAACAGAATGTATAGTTTAAAATTTGATAATTATCAACTTTTTCCAGCAATATAAAAAATTCATATTACATATAAAAACATATATTTTTCAATTTCAACTTCTGTTTCAAATTAAACCACCAATTGCATAACTTGAATATTTATTTAAATTCAGTCCAGGATAGATCCATTTATGTTTGCAAAATATTTAATAAATAATAACTATTATATTATCAAAATGAAAATGAATTGCAAGTGCATTTTTAAATTTATTGATGCATTATAATCTGACCTCTAGTAATAAAAATTAGATTTTAACTTACATTATTAACAGTTAAAATATTATTCAAATTTATGATTGTATTGTTTATGATATGTTGACTACTTTTAATAGTTGCTGCACACAAACTCCTATTAAACTCAACCAATTTTCTACTGCATGCAAGACTAGTTTTCCATTCAAATTGTAATGTGCAATCATTGCTTCCAGATACCTTTAATATTGGTTTTCCCTGTGTAGTTTAAATAAACAAAAAAAATATATATATAATGATCAATGATAATATTCAATATGTCACTAATGAATATGTATAATTAATATAATTTTATACTTCAGCTTCAGTAACATCACATAGTAATGTAATTTTTGTAGAATACTTTGTTCTAAATCTTGATGTTAAACCTAAACAACTATCGCCATTTTTAAAATATATTTCAATAATATCTTTTACATCATTTTGTATAGGTGTTACTTGATAACCAATATTCTAAAAAATATAAACAATGCACAAGTTAGGAGAAATTAATAATTCATCTAGCAATAATTTAAAACAAATAATAATAGAAACAATAACATTTTTTTTTCAGAAATTTTTTTAATATAATTAAATTATAGAATTAAGTATTTTTTTCAAATCAAAATCATAATTTATAGATTCTGAGTGAAGTAATAAATTTATTGAATTTACAAGGATATGTATTTCTTCTGTTTGTGAGTGTATATGAGACATGAGTACATAATAAGTTGTTGATAAAATGATAAAATATTCAAATTTTAGAGTGGTTCTGGATAGCTAATTGAATATAGTTTGTACCTTACTTAAGTCAAGATTAAAAATCCATAACACTTATTTTTATAATCAGAAAAAACAAAAAAAAAAAATTAATTAAGGAAAACCAGAAATGTTCACACTAAACTAGATTTTAATTAAATTAATTTTTTTATTTTGTTACAATTCAAAAATAATAATAATAATCTCAGAAACTTAAAATTTTCATTTTAAGTATTTATATTATCATTTTCTATAAGTGGAACAATTTTCAAAATATTTCGAGTTTTTTTGAACTAATCATAATAACTTTTATTGTTTTCATACATAAGATTTAAAAATGTAATAAAAGTTTTTTATAAATTTTTCAACCTATACATAAAAATAAATTCAACCGGAAAACCAAATCAGTTTTTAAGAGCATTTAAAGTTCAAATTTTTACAACATCGAATATTATTCAATTAAATAATTATTTCTCCTAAGTAATTTTGACATTTTGTTATATTTAAAAAAACTAACAGTAGATGCTTAAAATCTTTATTCTTTTTGAGTTGTTTATAGCCATGACATATATTTCAATTTTTTAGTTTTTTTTCTATAACTATTGATAAAAATTATTCTCATAAAAATTCTTGATAATTTAATATAAGATCCTACATAAGTTGTTTTTATATATGTATAAAAATATTAAAAACACATACATAAAATTTTTTTTAAGCGCATTTTAAATGATTTCAAATTTGTCAAAATTGAAAAAATTTCAATCTATTTCGTAATTAAAAATTCATAAAATCTTTTATTTTTACACCTGAGTTTATATTTATGAATCTGTTTTATCATTTATCTTAAGTTTCTGTATATCTGTATACTTTAACTATTATAACAACTATGTACTAATAAATAATAATATTTATTACGAGTTGAGAATTGAAATATTTCTAGTTTTTACTGTCTTAAAAGAACATACAAAAAAAAAATACATGTTCCTATATTAAATCAAAATACTCCACTCAAAATCTAATAATAATAATATTCCTTTTTTTTTAAGTTTGATAATAGGTTCATTCTAACAACACTGATAGCACAAAATAATTTCTAAATGTAGTAATAAGTACTCCTTCACCGTCCAACGGGGGACATTATCGCCCCTCTCCCCCCATTGAGAAGCACTATTCTAAACAATCTTTAAATGAAAATCGAAAAATTCCAAGAAAATTAACAAATTCGACCATTAAAATATATATTAGTTTTAAGCCCTACCCACTCAGAATTTAAAATCATACATAATTAAATTTCTAATACTAAGATATATAATATATATAATGTTGACTTATTAGATTTTTTCTTACTTACATAACTTGTATCATTAAATTCCATTATTCCTCCAACACCTTTTGCTCCAGGTATGCATATATTAATAAAATACTTTCTTCCATTATTATTAATGATATGAGTTCCTTTAATTGGTGTTAAATCATATGAGTTTACATTGCATTTCAGCTATAATACATTAATACAACATTTGTAAGCCCATGTTTTAGTATATTTTGCATAGTAAAATTATCTTCCAAATAGAACTATAATTTATATATATTAAAATATTTTTTATTATTTTGTAACTTCAAATTAGATACTTTTGGTTATTACTTGAAAATTAAAAATTTGATTATCATATTTATTTTATTTTATAAGGCTTACTATCTCACAGTATAACCCTATGCATTATTCGGTTAATTTTAAATTAACAAAAAATTAAATAGCTGAGTTCATTAAACATCTTAATATTTAAAATATTATTTAACCAATGATCTATACACTCACACATCTTTTTCATCAATGTTTATAGTTTTATTTGACTAAATAGTAGAGTTATTTATTGTGTAATATATTAATTTATACATTTATTAAATACATTTTAACTTATTATAATTAAATAAAAAATGTACAAACCTTTTCATCACACATTTCTGGATTAATACTGAGAACAGTAGTTACATAATGATTTGTTTGAACTTCTGGTAATTGTAACTCATATCCACAGTAAAACACAAACCTTATTTGTACTGTTCTATTTTTATCAAATGTATTACTTTTGTAATCAAAATATAAGTCATTTTGCAAAGTATATAATTCTTTTTGTTTATCAACAAACAAAATTATAGTTCGTCTATGTGGAAATTCATAATTCAAACTCATTTCTATAAAATATAATCATAATTTATGAGTTAAATTTTTGAAATACATGAACTACCTATGTATTTAACACTGATTTATAATACCCCTTCATTATTTTACTATTCTATTGAATCATTTACAGTTAGCTTCATTAGTTGTTTATGGATACATTAATTAACCTTTTATTAAAAAAAATACTTAATGGAAATATGATTCCTTTATTCCGTTATTTTAACTTACTTTTAAAGTACCTTTCTGTATCAAAATTTAAAAAAAACTAACCACTTTATTGTTATATATTGCAAGCTAATTTGGATCTCTATTTTTCTTTCTTAAACATTAAATTGTTTATATTTAATTAATTTTTTTTCCCATTTAGTGGTTTATTATTTATCTATAATTTAATTGTATTTTTTCTTAATAACATAAATTATATGACACTAATTACTAATAAAATAAAATGATCATTCACAAATATGATATATATATTAGCAACATTATGTTTTAGTTTTACCTGAATTACAATTTGTTTTATCATTTTTGGGACAAATATAAATAGTATAGTTTATTCCATTGATTATTACACTAGTTGGTTTTAATGTATTATAATTTTTTAATATTTCTCTTTTTTTAATATGTTGATGTTTGGGGCATACCAATGGTGTAAACCATTGAAATATATACTTATAATTTTCTTCATTAGTTAATAATGGACCCTAGATAAAAAAAAAAAAAGAAATTAATGATACAGTAATATATAATAATAATAATGTCTAAATTAAATAAAATAGATATTTTTTTAATATTATACAAAAAAAATGTCCTGTATTGATCATAAATTTTGCTTAGAACGTAATATATATTCATATTTAAAATACTTGCATTATTTTGATTTGAACATATAAATTCAATTACTGAAGAAACTTTGTGGTTATTATAAAAACCATCGATCATTTCTAATATTATTTTATTTCCTATTTTATAAGGGCTTTTCTTCACATCACCAAGATTTTTATATCTAAAACACTATTTATATTGTAATATACATAGATATATAATTATTTTGATTACCTACATATTTAAGTATTAAATAACTCTTACCGGTTATAATGTAATAAATTATGATCAACTAAACAGACTCCACTATTGAATTGACAATTTAGGCCTTTAATGTCATTATTAATAACAGAATGACAAACATTTAAAATAATTGTTTTATTTTGACTAGTGATAATTTCGTAGTTACTATTAAATTTAGTTAATTTACTAAGATCATAAATATTTCCCAATTGATCATCAACGGTGCAGTTAATTTTTAATGGTCGTGTACAAGCGTATTTTGTATATATGGTGAATTCAAATGTACATTCAGAAAAATCCTAATAAATAAAAAGTAAAGTATTAATTAATAACACAAAATACAATACCTTGTTGAATTAGTTAATACGTTCATAATACTTTATAAGACTTTTACATTGTAAATATTTTATATTTAAAACATTTTTTGTATGCCACCTTTACTTCCTATACATTTTTAATAATAAGAGTTTTAGACATTCTAACTTTTAAATTTCAAGTTATTTTAAATACTAGATGATTTAGATGATATTTAAATAATTTTGGTAGGTACTTAAAAATAATTTCTCAATGTGTTGATGAATATACTAAACTAAAAATATAATGAAATGCTTCAAATTTTTAAATTTAAAAGTTTAAATCTATTTTATACTGGAATTTACTATTTGGCTTTGTTTAGTGTTTTTTTCAAATTTATTATTTTATAATTCAATAGTGTATATTACTCACACAAGTGGACTATCTTGCCCTAAAAAAATTAAAAGTTTTTTTTTTATAATTATTGTTATTGCTACAATATTCATACTTTTATTATAAATGTATCAACAAAAATATGCTTACAAAAATAACCACTATAATCACTATATTATAGCATATTTTTATTTTTTGAGTGCATACATGTAAACTAGAAAGGAAGGTAATTTGGATATTAAAACATTCTTTAGGTAAACTATTTTGCCAAGTATTTTGTTTAAAAAAATATTCAAAAGTTAAATTTATTTTATAATTTATTAATGTGACTGTATGACTATTATGGATGTGAGAACGCCCTCTTTTTCTAAGTTGTATTTCAACATTAAATTAAAACTACGCCCTTTAAAAAATCTTGATTGCGCACCTGTTTAAATATAATCATGGTTTAAATTAATATTTTTGGAAGAAACATAAGAGTTTTATTATATCTAGTATAAAAATAATACATACCAACCACATTTGACTATATAAATAAATGAAAAAATAAATTGTACAAATTTAGAAATAAATTAAATTTATTTTGAGCAATACTAACCTTTTTGTATTCAATCCATTTTGAATCTAAGTAATCGCATACAAATCTAACAATAGTGTGACTATTAGGTCCCTGTTCGTTATTGGTACATTTTTCTCCATGCATGGATATATAGATGGAACCATTATCAAACACTACTTGTTCAGTAAAAAGTCCAATGTTCATTTCAGTTCCATCGACAGACCAGCAAGCAGCTGAATCTAAAATACCATTACATGGTTCTTGCAATGGACTACAAATACTAAACCGAAATGATGTGTTATCTTCAATTTCTTTTTCAAAAGTCTGATCTTTCAAATTGCTAATATTGTATACAGTATGAGAATCCCATGGATGTGTAACTATACATTGATCTTTCCTCTCAAACTTCATAATAAAATAAAAAAATTTAAAAACATAGGTATACATTTATAAACTTATAATTACCAATATTCCACATGCTTTAGGAGTTTTCCAATTAAATACATGGATACATAAAGTAATATCTGTTGATTCATATACAAGTTTTGACTCATCAGAACAAGTTAAATTTATAACTGTTGACCAATTCAAAGAATTACTACAATTATCTCCATCTGCCAACATTTTAAATAGACTTAATAATATGACACAAAATGATTATTTACAGTGAAAATTAAAAATAAAATATAAATAAAAATGAAATTTTGTGATTTTTGTATAAATCAACACTACTTTTTAGCATGATTTTTTTTTAATGTCATCCCATATTTTTAATTTCATAAGATCATACATTTTAAGAAAACTAATTAAATAATTAATTATTTTACTTATGTAATTCAATATTATTGAATTTCCGTTATAGTATGGACCAATTTGAGTTGAACCAATGGAAATTCCTTTATCTGAACCATCCACATAACAAGCTGAAGTTTTACCACCAACTAATAAAAGAACATATTTATATTTTTAACACATTTATTTTATAATAATACTTTCATACTAAATGTATTATGCATTTAATAACCTGTACATGAAGTTGGAATTTGTCCATCATATTTATTTAAATAACCACAAATATTTAAATAAAAAATTCCGCCATTGTTTTCATTAATAATTTTCCAATTGTCTACTCGTTTGTGTAAAGGTTTTAAATTGAAATGAGCAGTATAATTAGTAATTACCTATAAAAGGAATAGTTGAAAATGATTTAACTATTTAAGATACTGAGGTAATTTATTTAATGAATACTCAATAGAATCAAATTAAAGTACAAATAAAAATATATATATATAATCAGTGATTTACTTTTTTCTGTACATTATAAAATACAATTAGTTAATTAATAAGTAGAAAATAGAAAAATTGATCTTTAATATAGTTAAATAATAAAATTGTTTCTATTTTAGTGTCTTACATACATGGTTCTATATTATTTACATAAATTTAAAAAACCATTGAGATATTTCATTGATTGTATATATTTTTTTACATGGTAGAAATTTGGGTACCGATCTTGAGAGTTACCTATCCAAAAGTTTAAAATTTTTTAATATTTTGTAATTAATTATTTTCATTATTAATACTCACAAAACTAATTAGCATTTTTTCACTAGAAGTAATACATGATGGCTAGGTAAATTAAAAAATAAAAGGTATAGTGTATGTATGGACAATTACAATTACTCTTTTCATAAAAATTTAAAATGAAAATACCTATTATAAAATCAAAAAATAATAATATTTTGAAGACAAACATATATCTGTTATTGAACAATTAATAAAGAACTTTTTATTAAATTTAATGTATAAAAAAAAAAAAATCATTTATTTATTTTATTTTTAAATTGTAAATTGTTTAGTAAGCACAATTTTAAAAATGAGTTTGCTCTATAATATGGTTTATTTTAAAATTTGTTATTATTGATTTTTTTCTAAAATCACTATATAAAACAAGCTGTTACTAATTACCATACAGATATTTTTATGCTACAAAAAATTGGTTGTATAACTTCCTCCAAGTCAATACATTCCAAATTTTTATAGTTTATACACAAAATGATTCACCATACTCATTCACCCTCTTCTTCTTTCTTTAACAATGCATTTATTTAAAATTAGAATTTTGGAATTTTAAATTATACAAAAAGACTATATTTTCAAATTCTTGAAAAAGTTTTACTGTTCAAGGAATGGTTCTAAAGAGATATGAACTACTGTTTTTTTTCAAATGAGAATATCCCTTTACTACTGTTTATTATTTAACAGACAATTTTTCTAAAATATTAACACATACAAATCAAAATATGAATTGGTGCTATTCAAGTTATTAAACTGCGAGATAATGATATGTTCATAATAATGGATTTAGAAGGTATGGAATCTATGATAATTTTAAAATTTTTTTATGATTTATATTATTTAATAATAATTTAAATTTATAAAAATTGTTCAAGGTTAATTAATACTAGATTCAATATTGCGTATATTCTACAATTTTGTAAAACTGTTTTTAAGAATATTTATAATTAGTATAAACATTTCAATAATTGAGGAATTATTAATTCAAATTTTGAATTAAGAACATCATAAATAAATAAAACAAAATTATCTAACAAATTACTTACAAATTACAATAAAAAAAAGAGGTTCTCATGAAAAAAAAACAAAAGTTTGCACTACTATAGCATATTCTTCAAAATTTTAAGAATTTAAAACATGAATTTAAGTAAATATAAGAAATTTAAAAATTAAAATTTGAATAAATTCATAACTAAAGGAAAAATTGAAGGAGAGCATACTTGGGGAATCTCCCTTTATAAAAAAATAAGTCTTTGTTTGTCCTTTATAAGCTGAAAAACTACAAGACCATTTTCTATTAACAATTTATCAATAAAGATAACTAGATTCCTTGAAACATAGATGGTATTTATAGCTCTTTTTTTCAACCCCTTGATTGCTGAAGAATGGCTCACCCATGAATATTTTTGCTCACAAAAATCAAAAACTGTTTTGTTGATTTATATGGTGACCATTGATTATAGATTATATTATTATTATCATTAATAATTAGTAAAAATATAGAATATAAAATATTTTTAAACATAGTAGAAGAAAAAAAACAAATTTTAAAATCAAATATTTATGAACACCATAAATGCAATGATAACTTTAATAATTTGCTTTCTTAATTCTAGATATATTTTGAATTTAAGCATAAAAATATAAACCATTCTTAAAGCTTCTAGTTTTATGATAACTTCTTAAATATTAATTAAATCTGTCTCTTTTTTTGTTAATGTAAAAAAAAGTTCAAAATGAAGAAGAAAATCATAAAACTAATCATTTTAATTGAGTATTATGTTTTAATTGAAGCAAAGTAGATAATGATAAAAAGATAAATTAATTTTAACTTGAATGAGATCGATCAATATAACTAGTACTAAATATAACAATTTTTTAATTTTGGCGACAGATTTGTAAAACATTTCATTCTTGTAAAATATCTTGTTTAAAAATGTTTGTGATTTAATTTAAAATGTATTTTTAAATGTTAATTTTAAAATTGTATTCAACCATATTAAAATTTTTTAATTTTAATATTTTATAATATACTTGTATTGAACTATTCTTACTTAAAACATAGACCCATATAAATAATTAAAAAATATATATAAGCTAAATTGAAGTTGGTATATAGTAAAAAATATTTTAGAATTCAGAAGTAATTTAAAATTTAAAAAATACTCACTTCACATGATACCATTCTAGGTATACAAACAGCAGATGTAGCAACTTCAAAGTATGCAATATTAGATAAAATTTTACTTTGGTAATTTTCTTCATTTAAAAATTTTGGTTGTATATTTTCAGGTGCTATATTTTCATCACACTTAAAAATTAATTCAATTCTTCTACCTTCTATCATTTCAAATTATTTAAATTAAAAATATTAAATTGAATCAATTATTTTTTCCTATACAAACTTTTTCTAGTAGCTTTTTCATGTTGGATCAACTTTAAGTTTTTACTATTTGTATCAAACAGAAGTTCATCATTGGCATGTTTTCCTACAGCATACACTTTAGGATTTCTGATATCAGTGATATCACATATTGTAGTGATATTACCACCACATTTGTTGTTGTCAGTTAGACGGCCACAGATATTGAGTTCAAAACGACGATTTTGATTTTCAACCAAATAATTATTGGTTAAACGTCGTAAAGGATTCAAATTAAATCTTGAAAAATAAATATAATATATTAAAATAAATTTTTTTTTTTTAAATAGAGATGCTAAGAAAAAAATTAGAATGACAAATAATATTTTAATCATCAATAGAAATACTAATTCTCTATACTTCTATGTACCTACAACAAATATGAATTATATACTAAACAATACCTATATAGATACATTAAATCATAATCAAATAGAAAATACCAATTTATATGTATGTAAATTAATTTTTCAATAACAATTTTTCTAATTAAATATTAGTGTAAATAATTTTTTTAATCTAAATGATTAAATATGTAAAACAGTAAAATATTAAATATTAATTTTATGATTATGTAAAACTAATTAGAAATTTAACTTTTTTAAATGTCTATTTAATATTCTTATATTTGAAAAGTATAAGAATATTTGTCTAGAGCTAACTTAATATTATAATGTTTTAATAAGAAGAAATATTCTATCTATAACTTTTACTTTTGCTTAAAAAAAAAAAATGTAATTAGTTAACTTTAATCTAGTACTAGTAATACATAATAAAAATGTTTATAAGTTGTATAAAATATATTTTATAATATTTATTATAATAGAAACCAATTATAACACTCATTCAAAAATTTAAAAAATAATATAAAATTATTTACTTGAAAGTTATAAACAGTTTTAAATTTATGTTAAAAATAAAATATTTACTTAAAATTAATATGAGGTATTGAAAAATTGCAAACATTTTGTATATCCAAATCATCTATTGGGCAACCAACTGCAGAAGTCAATTCTATAAAATACTTGCAATGATTTACTTTTAGCTTATAATCTGTTGTATTTCCAATCATCTGAAATAAACTTTGAATATCAAATGACTTCAAAACATTTTATAAATACCTAAATTTATAGTATATCCTGTTTAATATTTTCAGTCAAATTAATAAATTGGTATAGATAAATAAGGATTGCATTATCTAACCTTGTATGATTAATTGTTCATTTCATGAAATATCTATATATTTTTCAGTCAATTAGTTATAAAAGTGATATACTCTTAGCTATTACACAATACAATAAGTATTTTTAAATTATATTATTATTTAGTATTAAACTTTTAAAATTTTAGAACTATCTACTAGTATAACTCATGAATTCTAATTAGTATATAATTTAAGTATACAAAAATTAAAACATAAAAATACATACAAATTACAAATATTTTATTTACTTATTTTACTTTATTTAATAGCTTATTTATTTTTTTAATTATCATATCATGGTAAAAAAATCTTTGAAAATTCAAGGAATTTTACTTTTTTAAGTTGTTACTTGCATTTGTACAAAAATGGGTAATAAAAAATAAAACTACTATATATGATTCAAAACTGTACTTGTGTTATTTAGTTATTATATAGTTTTAATTCAGACCATGTTGAAAACAATATAAAATACCTATTTTGTTAAATGTTCTTAAAAATATTTATTTTAAAAACATTCATTACATACCTATCTATGATTAAGAACATTTTTGATAAAAATGATAATTTAAAAAATAAATTTTAATTAAACAAAATATTATTTTCAATAATTTTTATTTGAAGTTCTTACACAAGAATTTAAGCTATGTTTTAAATTTTTAACTATAATGTAATAAAATAAACATATAGTTATAGTCATAGTCATTAATGGGAACCTAACCTAACCTAACTTACCTAGTTGTTACTGATTAGTTGAATATCGGAAAAAGTCCCAAACCTGAAATCTAAGTTTAGAGGAAATACCAAAATTTAAATGCTGAAAATTAAATAAGATTAACAAAAATGTGTTGTATAAAATAACCAGTAAGCGTGATTTATAATTAAATTGAATATAATATGGGAATTAAGCAGATAGTGGATAAGTAACTATATAGAACTGTGAATACTTGACCGAGTTATGTTTAAGAATATATTATATCTAACATATTGACACATTCCAATAGTTCATATATTAAGTAATATAATTTTAGATCATAGTAGTATACTAGAGTATCATACTTATTTAAATCTTGAAACTTACATTTTTATTGCAAATAAACGTTAGATCTGTAGAGTATTTTTGATTTTTTTCACAAATAGTACTTCCTTCCAAAGATAAAATAAGTTGATTTTTAACATCTAATTTCACTTCTAAAAAAAAAAGTTTACTCTTATACGTCTTATAACAAACATATTCTGATATTCAGATTTTTAGTTATAAAACATGCATTATTGCGGTCATATTTCAGTATTGTACAAATATTATACGACTAACAACTATTAAACCGCTGTATACTTCAAATATATATCAATATCTGTATAGTTTTAATATTAATTAAAATATATAATATATTAAGATAATCGAGATAAACTACAAAACATATTATACTCCGTAGCTTGTTTGTTAACTCACACCCACTGGTGGTTTTTTAAAATAATATGATGACCAAATGAAAGAAGGAAAGGAAATACATAAATCAATAATTGATCATCATTTGTCATAGTATATTGATTTAAACATTAAGAGATTATTATTGGAAACCTTTAAAGCTACTAGGAAGACTGAAAAAAAGAGGGCCAACTAAAATATCTTTAAAATACCTAAATACGATAAAAAGTATTTTTGGTGAACAACCAGAATATGAATATCAAAATCATGAAAATCTTAAAACTTTTAAGCATTCATAAAATAATAAATTTAAATAACTAAGGTTTGTATACACAAATATAACAAATTTCAATTACAATACTGGATAGCCAAAAAGACTGAAGTTTCAATAAATTTACATTTCAAAAGGTAAATCGTGATTAGTAGGTAGTGGGATTTCCTATTTTAATTTAATTTGGCCCAATTATTTACAAATTACAAGAATATTATAAGTAAAAGCATATGTATTGTATTTTTAAGAAATTATGTACATAATAGTTTTTTAAATATTATGCTATGTCAAATTGTGATCATTGATCATTACTTATTAGTTATTAGTTATTAAGCTTAGATTCAAATAAATATTTTACATTTTACAAAACTGTTTTTTAAACTATTAATAAAAATCGATTTAAATAAATTATTGTTACTAATATTACTGAAACAGTGAATTGTATGCTCATTATAAATGTTATATTTAAATAAAATTATAATTACCCATATAATGAATTTAAATATTTTTCATATAACAAAATATGTTTTATTTAGGTTTCGGAAATCAAATTGTCGCGCGACGGAAGTGTTAAATAGATGAAAATAAATACGATATTAATATGTCAATAATATAAACATGTAGACATGTAATTTACCATGTATATCTTGGTTTTTCTAAAATTTGATATACCTACCATGCTTATAATACCTGCTATTGTATTACTTGTTATTTTATTTATTATATTTATAATTGAGAATTGTTTTTGTTTGGAGGAAAGGAGGGTTTAAACTTTAAAGCACTAAATATTAAATAAGGTTCCTCATTATCATTTATTAATTTAAAAATATTAGAAAAATAAAATACATACGTTAGTACTAAATTTTTATGTGATCATATAATAATTTTGACAACATTTATCAAAATTTAGAAACTTTTTTGATATGATTAGACATTTAGTAACATTCTAACACTTCTATATCTTAAGATTTATAATTTTTATAAAAAATTTCTCTCAAATTTTTTATCTATTTATAACAAATAAGTTGACCGTGGTCACTTTTACTTTTTGTTACCGTATAAAATTCAAATGTTTACAACATTAGGTAATCACCTGCATAATGATTAAAAATTGTTTACGAAGACGTCTCACCCGTATATGTTCCGTCTTACGCATGACATGGTAAACTTTTCAATGGCGTGTTTTTAGTTTTGATATTAGAATGAATTAACCTATTATCAAACTTTTAAGTAAGAACATTATTTTGTTCTCTCGTTGGTTTTTTACGATATTTTAATGTTTAAGTGAATTATGAACATATTCAAATATTTATATTTCTTTTACTCATAAGTCATAACTGATGTTAATCATGCCATGTCGTACGTGTCACGTATGTAAGATGAAGACACACATGCGGGCGCGACGTCCTTTTAAACAATTTTTGATTTTTTCTGCGATTTAAAAAAAACATTTTTCATAATGACTTAAAACTTTTTGCCATTTTATAAGTATATTACTATTTATTAAACATAGTAAAAATGTCAATATGTTAATTTTTAAAATCCTAATGAATATAATAAAATAAAAATATCTCTCACGACTAGTTATTCAAAACAATATATCTAGATTATATAATATATTAAAAAACAATCATAGGTTATGTCTATGGCTATAGTATATAGTCCATCGCTCACACATTTATGCACGTATTTCATAACCCTTCAAAAACTCTCAAACTCTATACCCATACCTTCTCACAGCCTTACAGGCCACAGATAATGGCTTTAATTGCCAAAGCTTATGATAAAAAAATATATATAATTTTAAAATCTCTTGGCTAGCTAAACGTCCCCATTTAGAATCATTATTTTTTTTTTTTTGTATGTGATTATAACGTCATTTTCTATGGGAAATGGACAAAATTGGTAAATCTAAAGTATTAAAATTGCTTTTCAAATCAGTTTTAGGGGGCCGGCCAATATTCTCATACAGTCGTACTCCCCTCCTCTCACCCCATCATCAATGAATGAAGATTTATCCAAATATGTACCTACCTTTAATTTTGGATCCAATATCTGATTCTGTGAAATATTTTTTGTTTTTAATCAAACATATTTTTGACTTAATTCCATTGCAAGTCAATACATCTTCATTGCTTTTACATAACTTAATATATAAGTACATATCATTAGAATTGGTAAAATTCATTTTTTGAAGTCCTTCAAAACTTCAAAATACAAAAAAATAAATAAAATAATTATCAAATATTATTCAATTATTGTAATCAGTACATTAAGTACATTCTGCGTGGATACAGCCAAAACAAGGTATTTTCTATGATCACGCTTTATCACAGAAATTTAAAACATTTAAAAAAATATTTTTCTTTAGGTACCTCTAATTTTTCTTTAGGTACCTCTACGTATCCGATATCAGTTAAAGATCATTATAAAATAACATATTTTTTATACATTTCAATGATAATAAAATATAAATTTTAAATTTAATATTTCTAAGCAAAATATTAATTTAAGATAAGCAAATAGTTCAACATATTTATAAAAATTAAAGTGCCAATTTGGAAAATTAAATTTAAGATTATGTTATTGAATTTCGTTCAAAAATAAAAATAAAATTATTCTTGTACAATTATATTTTTAAAAATAAAAAATTTAAACTAAATATAAAAATCATCATTTTATTTTTACCGGGTTAAAACAAATTGGAGATGTTTTTCTTTGTGTTTCAGATTGAAAACACAATCTTCACATTGTGTGACTACGGCATAGGCAGCAAATATAATTAACAATTTATATAACACCATACTAAAAAACAAGAAAACAACCAATTATTATTAAAGGACATAATAAAAATATTATTATATAAATACGCCAGTTGGGAGTTTTTTAATTTTAACAGGAATTTCCTTTCCTACAGATGTTATCCACTGCAAAGTGGTCAACGATTCCACACAACATCGTCCGAAAATGAACGTGTATCTTCGTGTCAATCATAAAATATATTTCATAAAACTGCCGTGATCACTGCTGGATGGATGATGTATTGATGTATAAAGTAATAAACGGTACCTACCTTAGTCCTTATTCCTCAGAAGAATAATTTATAATTTACTTATTTTCTTAAAAGCGACAACGTTAAACAAGCGAACCGCACGTTTTTATTTTTTAACGATAAAATAACAAAAACGCACTATAGTATTATACCCACTTCTCATGCACACAAAACACACTACATCATACTACAATAATTTATTGGCAATAACTATTTTCTGATATTGCAGGACGTAGAGCGATGACAAACCACAAACGACAACGTCAACTATGGTTTGTCGAGTGCCAGACTGACGATTGAAACAATGCTACTCGTGAGTCGCCAGACAGTCAGACTGCCTTAAGGTACGGCCGCACTGAACGCAATTGCTATTTTGCGTTTTTCGATTACGTTATGCGATTTTATGATTTTATCAAACTATAGGAATAGGATAAATATGACATGGCCGCACTGAGAGCGTTTCGCGTTTTACGTTTTACGATTAATCGTTTTTAACGTAAATAAATCAAAATAGTTTGTTTCCTTGAGATTAATCGCTCTTGAAAAGCCCACCATAACGATTGATCCAGAAAAATTAGCTGCAACAGTTTTTTTTTAAAGAATCAATTTAGATGCCTCGCCATGTTGGTCATAAAAATAGGACTTATTCAACAGTGTTGGTCTGATTTAAGTAAAGAGATGACTATATATAGTAAGTATTAAGCACAATAATAATATTAGGTACAATCGAGTCAGTCAACTCTTGATAATTCGAAGTTGGCAGAACTTTTGAAAAATGTTGAATTACCGATAGTTAAAATTGTTGAGTAGTTCAAAATATTGAGAGCAAAAAAAATTCGAATTATTGAGTTAAAAAAAAAAAAAAATTGTTTTTTATTATTGTACATATATAATTATATAATTATTAAATATTTCAGGATATTAGGCTAAACAGTTATTTATTATTTTTAAAATGTAAAAAACTATGTGTATAACTACTATGTAAGTTAAATTATTATTATTATTTGAAAAAATCTCTAATAATTGTTTTGCTTCAATGAACCTAGTTTCATTTTTTTAATAGTATTTTCTAGAGCGAATAAAATTTCAAAAACCTCGATATTGACTATTGACTGGAGTGAAAAGTTACTATTTTTTCCAAGGATGAATTGGCTTTTTTTTAAGTCACAAGAGGTAGAGGACTTGTGTCGGCTTTAATCTATTTATTAACACTCGGTGTATTTTCCGAAATTTCGACGTCAGAGAACATTCCCAATCCCCATATAGTAACATATTCATCCACATTGACATGATCAATTAAAAAATAAAACGCTTACGATTAAGTTCTTATAATAATAATTCTATAGTTATTGAATATAATAAGCAAATGTCTACACGATTGTAGACCAATATAGACTATAGTATACATTGCGACCAATACATACTTTTTATTATCGTGTCACCATGTGTATGTGTTTTCACCGTGAAGGCATGAACTGTGTCGCAGTGACAACTGACAAGTAGTGACACACTTGTCGCGGTGACAAAGTAGTAGCGACGTGATTTTTTACACATCCCTAAGTTGCAATATATTTCAGTATAAGTAAATTATTTCAATAATGAAATAAAGTAAAAATACTACTCAAATATAATAATATCCATCTACACAAGTCATTTTAACGAAGTCATTTTGGCGTTTAAAATTTAAAACCATTTGCTACAAAACAATAAAAGCGCGGGACTGGCCCCACCAAAATCGTGTAAATCGCTGGACAATATAATTTGCATAATCGTTCGCATCGCAAATCGCGTTTAGTGCGACCGTACCTTAAGTGGTAACTCGTAAACTACCCACAGCACGGTATAAACAACACGGTATGTCTTATAGTATGGCAATAACGTTTTGAATTTTGACGACTAGATGTATCGCTAGGCGCGTGGCGTACATAATATTACTTAAGATTATCCAATATCCATATAATCAGTATTATTACGAATCGATAATCGATATTATAACTACGTATTATTGATATTATGACATGAATGTTGGGTTAGCTCATGACGTATTGTGCGAACCTAATCCAAAACTGGATTCTTGCTTTAGTTGCTGTCACAGTGTCAATGTGTCATACCATATTATTTACATTATTATTATGAAATATGAACTGCATTGACTATAATTCATTAACTGTAAGTAGTAACACTACTAACAGACCTGAACCTGTAAAAATTTAGGCTGATAACTTAAACAAAATCTAAAAATTAAACAATTATAATGCTTAATGAATATATAATACATTTATTATACATATGGTCGACAATAATTGATACCTATAGCCTATAGCTAGTACATGCATCTTTATAGCTTAATAAATTTTTGGTTATCAAAGTAAAGTTATGCTTATGCTTATGTTTTAATTTCCGGTTATTCTGGTTATTCAAATTATTGGATATGGTTTTCATTTATTTTTAGCAAAATAATGATTATCTTATTTTTTCCCAAAACATCGCTGATAACGACAACTACGGCGATTGTATATAATTTTTATATTGCCAAACTTGTTTTATTTTTCATGCCCAATATAGACGAAACTACGAAACTATTGTAGTCACATTACTCTGTATTCATTAGATAATGAAAGGATTTTACATCATAATATTTCGTATTCATTACTACAGCTATACAATATTTATATTTTATACGTTATTATTTATAATATTATTGATATTACAAATACTAAAAAAAAAATAGTATTCAGTGTTTGGAGAATCTTCAAAGGCTCGTAAAAATCTTGGCTTCTTATTTTTATTTTGACCAAGTATGTATATTATCTAAATAATTGTTGATCTATCATAGTAACCGACTAAAAGCTAATTAAAAAAAAAAAAAAATCTTGGATCTTTTAATATACATATATTGTGACAATTTATAATACTTGATAGTTTTGTCTTTTGGAACTTTCCGTTGGAAAATATTTTTTTATTAGAGCAAGGATTCTCAAGTTTTAAGAACATATTTTTAATTAAAAGAATTTATTTTAAGGTTTTAGTGTATATTATGTTATTGATAATTTATTGGGAATCAAGCACTTCGGTAAATATTTTCATGAATCAAGCTTAATAATTAAATAATTAAACTAAACTGTGAATTTGTCATAAAAACAACATAGTCAAATTTTTGTCTTAATGGTTAGTGGGTAGATTAGATTAGATCTGTAATAGCTTTATTGTTTGTTTTTATAAATATAAGTACATAAAAAAACTGAACAAAATAGAATAATCAAAATGAATTAAAATAAATATAATATTAAAAAAAAAAAAATGTAATTTGTTAGTGTAATACGAGTAAGTAATTTTTTTTAGACCATATTTAATTGCATATTTTTATTTTTGATGCATAAGTGAATATTTTTAAATTTTTTTATTACATGTTGAGTTTTTTAAATTGATAAATATAGTATAAATATTTATTAATATAAATTCTAATAATTAAATACTAATTAAGTAATAAGTTATTACTCATTAGTTATTAGTGACTTATTACTAATAACATAATAAATGCAATATTTTCGAAAAAATTATTATCCTAATATAATACTATAAATAAAATAAATGACTTTAATAGATACCTATATCAAATAGTTCAAATAAATATATTACTTGATGATATAGGCTAATAGACTGTATCCGTTCAGAATTGTTTTTTGTAAACAATAATCATCATTGAATGAAAATTTAACAAACCTATCGTAGTAACTCACTCGGCAAATAAAGTACAACAAAGTGGTACCTACCATCCACTACCTACCTTTTTTAAATTTAGATCCAACTCGAAGTTATCATTCTATCCAAATTCCTGATATAGCCATATAGGAACGACTTGTTAAGAACCCCTAAATATTTTAAATTTAAATAATATTGTTCAAGAGAACGTCGAAAATCATTTGGTGTGCGTTTACGAAAAATATAAATTTTCTTGACAAAGCCTTTTTATTGTTATCTTTTTATTGACTCGGCAGTTCCGTAGTACGCAGTAATAAATCAGTCGATCGGCACGTCTGTATCTGATGTACACATTTTTTTTTTTTAGTCATATTTATTTTATTTATACAATCTGTATAAAATAAATTTACAATAAGCACAATAGATAGAAGGATATATTATAGGTCATGGTTGGTTTAAGAGAAGAAGTTATTCAATAATAGCACTTCATGATACACATTTTAATATGATTAAATTGGTAGAAACATTAATATTTTTTTTCTAAACTTTACTTAAGAGTTATTTCTTAATTACTATCAATTATTGAATTATTATATTAGTTCATAACAAACTAATAAGATAAGATTAACAAGAAAATAATTATAATTAATAAGATTAACCTAAATACAACATTTTGTTATTTGTGATTATTTCAACATATTATTACGCTTAGTTGTACCATTGATTTTATATATTATAAAATCTGTTATTCAAGTTACTGTTAAAAATAAAAGTTAAGATCACGAGTACTACAAAAAATTATTATGGGTACAGACTACAGTTGATAAAGTTTGGCGTAAGCCGTAAGGCATACATCATTCAGTTGCTATAATTGAGTATTATTATCGTGCATATGTACATAAGCCATGAATCACAAAGGCAAAGGACGCCAGCGTCCTCATAGCATGCAAACATAAACTACAACACACGCAAATCATCATAAATACGAAAAACAGACATGTGAATGTGTTTACACTTTAGAAGGGAGTTTCCCGAGTGCGTCATAAGGAAAAAGTCATATTTTTTACATAGCCCTAGTGTGTGTCACTGTGCCAGTTCATAAAAAGTTACCCGAGGTGCACTACAAGAAAGTGAATAGGCTTACACCTCAAAAATATATTTTGTTTCTTATTTATGATAATATTTTTATTTTAGCTTACACCCTTGAATTTGAGTGACAAAATCTAATCTTGATATTTCATTATTTTGAAATTTATTTAATATATTGTTATTTGTCTTCGATGTATGAAATTTTCTTGTATGTGGTCATGTGACTTGAGAATGAGGACGCACTCAGGCTATTCAATATACATAATTTTTAGATATGGCTTCAGTCGCACTGGAACCATGAAAAAGGTAAAAATTAAAAACCGGACGCACTTGGATATCCCGTTTATAAATAGTACACACAACTCGCACATATGTGGATTTCATGATTGCTATAAAAGTGGTCATCGAAATATGTATTTATAACCACTATTGGACGGGATTTTTCATGTATTTTCAGTTTGCCCGAACCTAATACTTAGCCTATCTGTCATAATATGCTACTTTTGTCGATGTGTAGCTTTTC